CAATCTGATTGCTTTTGCTTAGGTTCTATTGGGGCTGTACTAGGCGGTAACAATTACATATCCTAATAGGCGGCACTAGAAATATAAGAAAAGAGAAGAGAGAAGAGAAAGAGAGATCGTAAAAGGTGGGGTTAATTTCTTTACCATCACATCGAGGCCTCTTTTATTTTTATTTTTTGGGGGGCCGCAGCCCTACGAGTGCGACACGGAAACCAAAGAGGGGGAAAATCAAAAGCTGCCAAGCTGAACTCAAAGTTAAAGCCTCAAAGCTTCTTCGATCCTCGCCAAAAGTCGCCATAACCGAGGCACACGAAAAGCTGAAGCTAAGGCAAAAGCTAAGCACACAGCTAAGCCAGGAAGCTCGTCGGGAATTTAACCAGGATTTAAAAAAGGGGGAATCGATTCGACCTATGCATACCTAATTATGTAAAAGGTGCCGTTCACTAGCATCGGACACTGAGTGTACATGAGGCCCCTCTCCGGTTGGGCTACGATATCGAAATATATATAGAGAGAATACACAGTTTATATAAGTGGTAACATCTCAGGTGCGTGTAGTGGGTGGGTGGATGGGTGGTTTGGTGTGTATGGCATGGGTGTGGGTGTGGGTGTGTATGGGTGGGTGTTGGGTAAACAAACAACTGCTAACAGCTATGACACCCCGAGGTGTGTCCAGCTCATGTCGCATATACAGCCATAGCCATAGATCCTGACATCACCGAGTCAACGTCATCGTCTCGTGGCCGCGCCTTTGGCCCTGTTTGTTTGTTTGATTGTTGGTTCTTGTCTGAGGAGCGGCAGCGCATTTAATTTGATTAACTCAACGGCCCAAATCCCCTCCCCCCCCCACGACTGCCCCTCCTGCCCTTCTGGGTGTACAATTTTACCGGGGAAGAAGTTGTCTCAGCTAATACTTGCTGCTCTAGTCGTGTTTTATTTCCATTTCGGGGCTGGTTAAAGGGTTGAAAAGAATACAAATGATCATGGGACAGGGGCAAGCGCTCATGCAGGAAGCCCACGGATGGCGCCGATAGCCAGGGCAGACTGTACCTGGCCACTGGCATCCGTGTAGATGACACAGGAAGCGTTCAAGGGTATTTTCGGACTCGCTATGAGGCCAAATTCATTTGGCCAAAAAGCCAAAAAAAACATGCCTCAAATCAAATATGCGTTAAGAGACAAATATTTATAGAGAAATATGAGCGGGGGTGTTGGTAAATGTGGTTCGGTGAAATAAGAATAAAAATGAAAATATGTGGACACAAAAATACACATAATAATTTAAATTTCAGGTTTTGTTGGTTTTCCATGCAGCGTTTGTTTTTCGATCCAAATCCGTGCGTGATTGTTGTTATTCATAAATTAAATAGATATAAACATTTGGTATCGTTTTTGTTTGAGTTGCATGCAAATGGTGAGAACATTGTTTTCATGTTTTAAATATTATATATTGTTGATTTTTTGCGCATGTGTGTTAGCATGTAAAAAAGGTAGAAAAATTAGAGTAAATAATTATGTTGTTCGTAGATCCATTGAAAAAATGAAAATAAATAAGTTTGAATTAAAGTCTTAAAATTAAGCTTAAGCTGCATATGCGAAAAACAAGATTCTGTCTGGTGTTAAACCGAAATTGTCCCGTATGTTGGTCGGATTTGGTCCTATCTTCTACCTCGTTAGCTGTCCCTGATTTCGAATTATGCAAATAAAGTGAAAGCCTCGGGAAAAAAACTTTGCAAAAGAGGTGAGAATAAAGTTTTGGGCGCCACACGGGACACGAGTTAATAAATGTAAATGTGTGACACCACGCCCCCATTAAAATAACAATGTTTTCGTGCTGTAATTACGGCTTTTTCGCCCTTTCAGACCACAACCCCCTCACCCCGACCCCCACACATTGTGTAATTAACTTGTTGCTGGCGGAAAAGTTTTTTCGGATCTCTGGCTTTGTTGTTCGCATATGCAAAAAGGCAAACGCACTTAAACCTATCGTAGATTAGTTCGGGTTCGGTTCAGTTTTGGTTTGGTTTGGTTTGGTTTTTAAGCTCGATGGCAGCAGCAGCAGGCAAATTAGCAAATTATAAAACAGTAGCATACTTTTTGGGGGCTTGGGCGGTTAGTCGACGCTGCAAATAAAGGGATTAAACTAAAATGAAAACGGCTATGAAGCGCAGGCTAAGCGGCAAACTGAAAAATGCAGAAAAAAGATGAGTAATCAAATAAAAGGCATATTAAATAGTTAACAAATTAAAACTCATTTGGCAGCAGCAGCTATTCACAATTTTTGAAGCGCATTTCAAACTTGTTACTGCGTCAGCCGTAAATGCTGAAAATGAGAGAAAAAAAGAGGGTAAGCTCGGTTCGGTTATCAAGCAGGGGACAATCGCTCCTCACAGGACATCACACAGAAACAAGGCAAATACTTACTACATACATACAAACAAGCCTGCAAAAGTCAATCAAATATGGTAGATAGATACATGTACGGATAAATATAGGGGTTTGCAATAGGAGCATCAAATTTCAAAGGGAAACGCAAGAAAACTTTCACTAAATTCTTTGGGTTTACCAGTTTGCCTTGTAGTTGTAGTGTTTGTTTTATTTTTTGGGGTGTGTGTGTGTTTTTGGGTGTCTTTTTGGGTGTGTGTGACTGGGCTATAGACTCTGGTTCTTCCAGCGCAGGAAAAGTTGAAGCGGTATTCTATTTGGTTTTAGATGTTCTCGTTCTCAAGCGTTTCGCAGTGCCTTCAAAAGCAACTTCACCTAGAAAGCATCTCGCACTACAAACTTGCTAACTAAGTGTGTGTATTTAGGTGTGTGTTTTTGGGTGTGATAGTGTGTTGTGTATGTGTGGGTGTGTGCGTGTTGGTTAGGTATCATATGGAGTATAGTCTCCTCTATGTTCAGCAAACAGTCAAACATTTTACATTGCGGATCTTTTTGATATCCTGCTGTTACGAAAAAGAAAGAAAAAATTCGTTTGAAAAGAAAAAAAAAAGAAGTCATGTTAATAACATTTTCTGGAGCACAAATGTATTGTATATGTATGTGTGTGTCTTGGTGGAGCTAAGGAGATTGGATGCCCGATCGAATTACCCAATAACTTCTTTATAACTTCGATCTCCGATCTTTCTTAGCTCCACCGATCGAAGCGGTTAAACGACAAACGAGAAGTCTACCGAAACAAATAAGGTTAACTTTAAACATACTTAGCATCTATATAGCAGGTATCAGTCTTCAGATATAATCGTAATACCATTAGGGGAGTAAACAAAAGCTCGGATATTGGGGCGGTGCACCAGCTTACCTTAGAAGTGCTTTCGTATAGCTTTACCATCATACCACATGCCTCAGAAGCCATACACGAGTTATATATGTATGTGAACAAACGCAATGTACGAGTAGTATTATATCGGTCTCGAGAGCGAGCGAGAGAGATACATATATAGAGGGTAGAAAGAGACAGCCACTTGCAACGTCACTGCTTGATATTCATACTCATAGTCATATCGGAATACTTGCTACAAAAAAGTTCTGTTTCATTGAGCACATGCTGAAAAATTACAAATTACGCTCCAATCGAAAAGTCTCAAAAATCATGAAGAACGATATTAAATCAAAGTAAACACAAGAAAGGCCAACTAAATGAAGGTAACTGAAAAGAAATTACATGATCAGGTCGCACAGCAGCGTACTTTCCCCCGACAATTTCTCCGAGGAGGAGAAAGACGAGCGCTTTCAACGGGCGAACGAAAGAGAGAGGTAGTGTATGGTCGAAAGAGACGACATTACTGTTTCTTTGGCGACGCTCAAACTTTTTGTAATGAACTCAAAGAAAAGCTTCAAGTTGAGTTGGGATTATATCGGAGGACCGACTGATTCAAGGATCATGCTAGTGATAGAGATACATTAAGACTGAAAATCTTGAGGTTGTGAGAGTAACATCTAAAAGATAGAGATATAAAGTTGCTTGAAAGAGAGTTTAAGATTAAAATAGAGCAAAATGTTGGCAAAAACTTAAAATGGTTCGAAGCATTTTCTTTGATAACATTACGAAAAGCGCTTAACTCTAGTGGGTATAATTGATATTGACATATATATATAGTTTATTCCATACACAAGAACAGCTTTAGCCAAACAATACAGTAATATTTCTCTGGATAATCCAGCAAGCCAAGTGTTTCGAGAATTCTACCAAAGAAAATCGGGTGTGTCTGTGTGAAGTGAGTGTGAGGAAATCAAAAGGAGTTTAGTCGAGCAGAGACCACATTGAGTTTTACGTACGCCTAGACAGTTACCACCGAGGTTCATTAATTAAAGAAGCGCTTACGGAAAAAATAGCGAAAAGCTTGATATAACTTAAATATTCAGCAAAATGAGTAGACCAACTTAGGTGTAAAATCATAAATATACCATTACAGAAATTTAAATAAAATAAATCGTTAATAGAAACAGCCAACAAATAGAGAGAGAGAAAGAGACAACGCACAGAAAACTGTTGTTTATGGATTAGTAGTGGGTGAGAAAGAGAGAATGTTAGTTTTGAGTTGATCACTTTCCAAGTTTCGAGTAAAAGAAGCCAACAAGTTGTTTTACGGTTTTTACAATAAAACGTATATAATATAATTTCAATATAATTTGTTTTGTCTTTATAATAATACGACTAATGTTAGCACAGATATAACATATTCATTAGTGTCTTTGCTTGTGTATAGATGTGTGTATAGATATATATTTCGACATATATATTTAAATGTTATGAATAATTTTAACTTCGACATTCTTGCTTTTTAACCAACTCTCCTATTTGACATGCAATCGTTTTGCCATTCTTTTCGGTCACTTATCGTCGATGGGACTGAAAGCGAAATGAGAGCCTGCATTGACTTCGTTTTCTCTCAGTGTAATGTGTGTGAGAATTCTGGTTCGGCTACAAATCAAAAGGAGGCAACTAGGTGGATTCCACTAAACTATAGTTACTATTGGACGGTACTGTACTTCTATCTATTGAAGAAGGCTTGAAAACCCATTGATTATATTGGAATGGACTGTGGTTTCCTAAGTGGTTGGTTTTTTTTTTTTTTTTTTTTTTTATTTGTATATTGAAAATCAGCCTAACTCATTGTTATCCTAGTGTCAACTGACAATTATTATTGCATGATAATGTTAACATACTGTTTTTGTTGTTTGTCTGTTTGTTGCTGTGTTTTTGGTGCATTGCAAGTTGGAAAAGAAGCGGAATAAAATATGAGCTCTTAGGTCTGAAATGCAAGTCTGTTGTATCTTGGCGCCATGCAGTGGTGAGTGGTGTTTTGGTTTGGTTTCACTTTGTTTTTGCTTTAGTTCTTAGCGTTTTTTAGTTCGAGAGCGTTTTCTAAACATTTTCGCATATACTTTCATTTGCTGAAATTATGGGCGAACGGCAACAGTTCTACATTGTCAACGAAAAAATTAACCATACGACACATATAGATAATGTTATCATAGTTTTATGCAAGACATTGAGATATAAGATGGATATAGGTATATTTAGATCTGGTTTAGTTTGCTATTCGTATATATATTGTATTCGGCTGCCATGTTTAGTAAGCATCTTTCTTATCGAGTATATAGAGTAAGCCAAGCATTAGCTGGCCATAGTTCAGATAAATAGTATATTCAGATTTTACAACTAGTTCTCTACCATTAGCGTACTCATTTTGCTTGCCATTATTCTAAGAGCTAAAACATATATAGGATGAGATGGATTAACGGATGGATAATAATCAGATTTCCCTTTGGGAAGAAGCAATAGTTAGGGGAAGCAGGTCAAAGGAGAAAACTCAGGCAGTCCTTATATTATGTGGGTGTTTCTGTGTGGAAGTGAGAAATTTTTAGCGGGAATGAGCGAAAAACAAAATAATATTTAATAATGGTATTAAATTAGGAGTTCGCCAAGCTCTGGGAAGGGAAATAGATGATAATAAGGGTGCTGCTCTGCCCGAAAGCGCTCGGCAAAGCTTGTGTTTTTGTGGATCGGGATCTGACATGTCCTTGATCAAAGGAGTACATTTAAATCAGAGGTGAGATGTAAAGCGGCACAACAGAAAACGAGTATCAAGTGAATACCGAATAAATTAAATCAAATAAAGTAAAATACCAACACACAATAAGATATATATATTTGTTTTTTCGTAAACTATATATTTAGATAAACACACGGTATTTCAAATAAAACATTAATAAAAACTATCGAAACTAAACTAGAATTAGGATTAGAATTAGGATAAGAATTAGTGGCAAACATCAAATCGTTGTAAGACATTAGAAGTACTTTAATTAAAAACAATTTTACAGAGATTATCGTATATATCGAATAGTAATGTATGTAGGATGTTCTCGGATGAGGAGTTTTTGCGGGTGCGGGGTGTAGGCGGGGAGTCTAAAACTTAAGGTGCGCAAGTCAGTGGCAATTTATCTTGTTGTAGAATCTTCTCAAATTTTTCAATCGGGAACACACTTTAAAAATTATATAATAACTACACTAAAAACTGGTTTATAAGTACATAAAATACATAAATATCAACGTAAAAATTACATAGAAAAGAAAGTAAAGAAAAAACGGATAATCACACGAGATCTAACATTAAAAACTTAGTTATGTTTGTCAATGATTTTATTCTTTGCTTAACAATTCGTTTACAGAAAGGAAAACATTTATAATACATCGAAAGAGTGGGCGATAGAGGTTTAAGAGTCAGATGACGAGTGGGATAAAGATAGTTGTTAAAAATCAAAAGGATTTACATAGTTCAGGTCAACACATCAAATTTAAATCTTGATAAAGTAACATTAACATAAATCAATTTTGCTGGCTTAACAGTCTGAAAGGTGTACGGGTGTTTTGGTGTGTTATTGTGAAACGGAGAGAGAGACGTGATAGTGGGTGGTGACTGTACTGTAATATCTGATTAGTAAGCTAGACATACGATTTACAGATCGATCCTGGTCATGTTTATGCCATTTTTGTTTGTTTTTTTTTTCGGTGAATTTGGTGAAGGATGAGCGTGTGTTAGAGTACATAGTGTGGGTGTATATATCGTATTGTATATGGGTAGCAGCATACAGCACGTACAGCTAGGTATATATGTTTATCGTATAAGTAATCTATATAAACTAGACAATATTCGTTACGCATTTATCGTTGCTCAACAATTTTAAACAATTACAACAGCATTCACGCTAGCTATCTAGCTAGTTATAGTTAGGAAACATTCAGAGACAGCGATAGGTTGTTAGAGAGAGAGAGCGCGGGAAATGGATGGTGAGCGGGGTCGAGAGAGATAGCTATACGAGACAGGGACGGCGATGTGGCATCAAGCACCCGCAGCTAGCAACAAGCAATCACAACTGTACCCAGCATCGGTAGCAGCTTAGGGGGACTATCCTTCCGCCCATGGCATTATCTGTTTGATCCCTCAAAGCTTTTCGCTATCACAGTTCCTTGTTGTGTTTTTTATTTCCCCTCTCTAATCCCGCCCTCCGTTTGTGTTTCTATAAACTAGAGTTGACTAAGTGCTATCCGAAAAAGGAACTTAAGTATTACTATCAGCTAACATCTGTTTCTCTTCTGTTTGCTTGTGCTTTGAAAGCATGCTTTTTCGATTCTTCTTGTGCAAAAATGGCAACACTTTTGAGTCACAGTGAGGTTGTATTTCGTTTGTCAAATAACTTAATGGCAAATTATCAGCAAGTTTTGGGCATTCGTGTTAGTAGGCTTTGATCTTCGATCTGTCTCGCTGTCTGTCTGATTTTATTGATCGTGTCATGGTTCGTTTTTTATCTATCGCTATGAGGCCTATGGTACAACTAAGGTATTCTCTCTACTTGTCCTTTTCAAGAAAACTGAGGCACATTATCTTACGTCTTCGATGTGTTTAAATCTACGAATCTAGTTAAGTGTGACTTTTCATCTGTTAGATGGCTGGGTGTCTTAAGTACAGTTGTGTTTGAGTTTAAAGTTAGTTTTTAGTTAGGCGATGGGTTCTTAGGAGGTCTTCATCTTCTTGTAGGGGTTCAAAACCATGGCACTGCCTGGAGTTCCTCCCTGAGCGGCTGCTGCGGCCGCCGCAGCAGCTGCTGCGTATTGCTGTGCAGCAGCAGCCTGAGTCTGCGGCATCGCATACCCTGTAGTGGGCATCATTCCGGGATAGAAATATCCCTGGGCCTGGGCATATGGCATGGGTGAGGGGGCTCTTAGAAGGGCAGCCGACTGATACTGACTCGGATTGACTGATCCACCTGGCGCGGAGCGCACTGGAGTGCCTTGAACTGGGGTAGCCAGTCCGGAGTTGGGTAGGGATCCCAACTGGCGCATCTGAGCCTGGGCCTGAGCCTGGACTTGAGCCTGAGCTTGGGCTTGGGCCTGCATTTGTAGTAGAGCTGCCATGGAAACGGCCTGAGGTTGGGCAGCCTGAACGGCCTGCGGACCTGTGGCAGCCGCCACATAGCTCTTGTTCAGGGTCAGTCCGGTGTAGGCAGCTGCCGCCGAGGAGGCGCCTCCGGGCTTGGCAGCCGTTGCACTGGCCACCTTCAGGGCATAGTTCTTCTGGGCCACTTCCTTGGCCAAAGCAGCGGGATCGGCGGTGTAGTATCCACCGGCGGCGGAGGATTGGGGGGCCAGTCCCGCTGCGGCAGCATAGGCGGCATAGGCCTGCTGGGCATAGGCAGCCTGGGCATGAGCTTGGGCTTGAGCCTGAGCTTGAGCCTGTTGTTGCTGTTGCTGCTGTTGCGCCTGCTGCTGCTGATGCTGTTGCATCTGAGCCTGGGCATAGGAGGGTGTGCTGCTGGGCAGGCTCACCATGGTGGAGGTGGCTCCTCCATAGGGGGAGTACAGATTGCCATAGCTGAAGGCGGGCATGGCATAGTTAATGCGCTGCAAATTGGCCTGAGCTTGAGCTTGAGCCTGAGCTTGGGCTTGAGCTTGGGCCTGAACCTGAGCTTGAGCTTGAGCTTGGGCTTGGGCTTGAGCTTGAGCTTGAGCCTGGGATTGATAGGAAACTGCCGGAGCAGAAGTAGTCGGTGTGGGCAGGATGCCGGTGCTGTGACCATTAACCGTGTACCGCGAATAGGCCTCGCCATTCTGCTTGGCATAGTTGCGAGATGCCGATGCTGCTGCTGGGTTACCACTTTCTATATCCCCATTTAGTTCATCGGAATTGGCCGACTTGAGCTGGCCATTGTTCAGATTGTTGTTGATATAGGACAAGTAGTTGTTATTGTCGCCCAGGCCATTGGGCAGGGGCAGAAGACTGTCGGCTGGGGGGGAACTAGGGGGCGGTGTGTTGCCATTGGGGGGCGTGGCAGATGCTGCTGCTGCTGCAGGGGCAGTAGTGTCTAATGTATCTGTTGTTGTTACAGATGTTTCTGGGTTTGTTGGTGAGATTGTTCGTGTTGTATTACATTCGTTCGAGGGACTTGGATTTTGGTTCGGATTCAGATTCAGATTAAGATTCAGTTTTGGATTCGTTTGGTCACTATTGTCTTGATTGCTAGCTTGATCAATGGCATCGCTGCGATCCGCATTATCAGTGTCACCATCAGCAGTGCTATCGTTAGCTTTATCATGATCGGGATTGTGATCGGTTTCAGGATCACTATCGTTAGTATTAGTAATGGCTGTTGTTGCTGTTGTTGTTGTTGTTGCTAATGCCGATGATGATGGTAATAATAATGACGATGATGATGCTGTTGTTGTTGCTATTGCTGCTGATGATGGTATATTGGTAGTAGCAATTACAGCGTTTATGGTACTTTTATTATTAATAATATTAATCATATTATTACTGGCTGTTGCTGTTGTAGTTGTTGTTGTTATGGCGCTACTTAATTGTAGTTGTTGTTGTAGTAGTACATTTTGTTGTTGTTGTTGTTGATGTAGTTGTTGTTGTTGTTGTTGTGGTTGTTGTTGTTGTTGGGGATACTCACATGAGACTGGCACATAGGGCTGCATTAGCTGCTGATAGGCGGTCGCACCGGGCTGATAAACTGGAATGCCAGACTTTTCGGCAGCTGGACGTTTGAACGGAACCATGCCAGAGAATTGCTATCGAAAGAGAAAGAGACGGGTGGAGGAGTAAAGAAAGAGATAAAAAACAGATATTATTATTATTATTCGCATTTGAATTTCGCTTTCAACTTAATCTATTTGGTAAACATATACACTATAACAATTGCTTACAAACGAGCTTGTTTTTTTTAATTAGTAAATTTTGAGTTTCTTATTTTGTTTCTTGCGCTTTGCTTGCTTTTTTATCGCCAATTTCTATTTTTATATATTTTTTGGGGTGAGAATTACCAAATCATACGAAATATGAAACGAAATATTTCATCAAACTGAACTAAATTAGAACTTGAACAACGAAATCTAAACATAGGCTGAGTACAGTTGGCAACTGAATGAATCAAAAGTGCGTGCAGTTCGGTGGAAAATTGGGGAAAGCGTTCGCAGTTTACTTCTAAGTGAAATGAATAAGCTTTCAGTGTTATTTATTTTTTTAATTTATTTCTTTTTTTGTGACTTCTTATCCGATTGGTTTTTATATATTGTATGTGCGTATAAGCTTTAAGTTGGTCCTTTCGATCAACATAAAATGTCTCCATGTATTTATTAAAATTATATATATATTTTTAAGAAGCAGACCAATGGCCACGATTAATTAATCAAATTCGGTTGATTTTGAGTGCATGCGGCGTTCATCGAAAGATCGGCTGGTTAGTAGCATGTCTGGATGTATATTATATATTTATCGCTTGTTATGGCTACTCAGGCAGTAGACTTTATAGTGTGTATATATATATTGTTGATCGGTTTCTATAGCTGACTACTGTACGTGGCGATTGTCATTCAGTTTGGAGTACTTACGAAGTTTTCATAGTAAAATGAACCAACCGTTTTAACATCCATCTTTTTTGGCATTTATCGATTGTTGTTGATTATGCGGTTAGTGTATGATTTGTAGTTGATTGTTGGGTTATCATTGTTTGATTGATGATCAGTTCGATACGGGGTTAGCACACACATTTCGCAGTTATTATTGTTTCGAATTCGAATTCGATTTCGATTGCGATTTCGAGAGATAGTGAGAGAGGTGGAGTTTTGAAACGAACGCAAGAGATTATGGAATCGAAGAAGAGCAAATGAAGAGGAGAGAAGAACACAAATGAAATTAGTGGATATATCCTGGGCACAGTACAGTGGCATTATGGCATTAATCAGATACATATATACATAAACGGGTACACAGATACTTAGTCCTAATAGGTGGCAATGTGATGTGATGCGATGTGATGTGTGGGCGTGATGTAAACGGAAAAGGGGGCGGAGTGGGACAAACAAAGTCTGCAGGCTGCAGGTGGTGCATGTTCAGCTAATTAACCAGGAAAAGCACTTAAACAATTAAGCTCGCGAATGCAATCAGCGGCAGTGGCAGAGGCAGAAGCGAAAGAAAGAAACTTACAGTTACCGCTAAAGGTATAGCTACGGCTATACAGCCTTGGCAATTATCGGTTAAATCATTTTAATTAACACTTGGCAGGGCAAATGTGCTCGTGTTGTGATTGTGATTTATCATATGCCACGTGTAATTGGTTAAACTGGCTTTTGCCTTTGCAAAAAGTACGTGTGTGTGTGTGTTTCTGAGTTCGTGTGTGTCTGTATTGATTAGTGTGCCTGTGTGCGAATGTGTGCCTTGGTGAGTGTTTGCGCTTTTGATATATCGGATAATGACTTCATTTTGTAAATTAAATGCCGGGGGTTGCATCCCCAGCAGACCTGGCCATGCTGATAATAAACGTTAATTGATGGCACTTTGATGTGCATGTGACTGACTAACTGAGTGGGTGGGCAAGTGAGTGATTGAGTGAATGAAGAACTAAGGTGATGAGCATTTGGTTAGGTGAAAGTTGAAAGCACTTCGTTTCGAGGCCCAAAAAGGTCGAAGGATTGAATACGGAGGTTTCAAAATCTAAGTGGTTAGTTTCGATCAGTTTAAAGTTAGTGGCTCTTTAGTGGATCTTTAGTGAAAAGGATACCTATTTCTTACTTATGAAGTAACTTTGAACATGACATTTTATTGATTAAAACATCTATATTTGCCTTCCAATTTTTAATTTCTTTTAAGGTGGTGACATACAGATCACCAATTATAAGTTTTCTTTAGTTCATTGACTTGTTAAAATTTCTATAACATTCTTAAGCGCGAAGATGTATTTTATATATTTTTAATGTAATTCTTTGTTGTACACCAAAGCTGTTTACTAACTACTTCTTAAAAATAGCTATTCATATCGAAGATCTTTTCGACCGCCTAAAAGCATGCAACGAAAAAGGCGAAACTAGGTTCAACAACCAACAGAAGCGTTAACAATTGTCAGAACCAAGGCAAATCAATTAGTTAGTTGGAAAAAAAAAATTAAAATTCAAAAATCGAATATTGAAAAACCAAAAAATGAAAAATCGAATAACGGAATAACGGATAACGGAAAAACACAAGGTGAAGGAAAAGAAAAATACCAGTGGAAACATATCGGTTGTGTCCGCCGCCCGCTTCTTGCCCAATTCCAGTGTGTGATGGCCCATGACAGCGGCGGCAGCGGCGGCGGTAGCAGCGGCGGCGGCGGCAGCGGCGTTGTTTGTGGTTGTTGTTGCTGTTGTCGAGGTGGCTGCTGCGCCAGCGGTGCTGTGGTTGTTGTTGTTCATGTTGTTCAGGTGCTGTTGCAATAGTTGCTGTTGTTGTTGCTGGTGATGGTGTCCCGTAAGAGGTGAGGTCTGTGTGTTCGCATGTGTGTGTGGTGGTTGTGTAGTTGTGCGTTTTCGTATGCGTCAAACATTTTTTGAAATTTTTTTCGGAAATTTGAAATCAAACGAAAATTCAGACAGGCAAATATGCAAAATCATTAAAATATACAGGCATTTAAATGATGTGTCCATTAAATAGTTGACAGATTCCAATTCGAATTATTCAAGCAGCGGTGGTGTAGGCATTTGTAATTAATTTTTTTGTTTAATATTTTTTTTGTTTTCGATTTTCATGAATTATTAATTAGTGTGTCCAGTTTTATATTTTTATTTCAAATTTTTTTCCACCAAATTATGCACAGGGAATAAACATATTTGTTTGAGTTCATTTTTTGATGTTTTGTTGGTTTTTGTATTCGTGTTTTGTGCAAATGTGTGGGTGGGTTTTTGATTGTGTTCGTACCATCCATCGTAGAAGCAGTTACAGAGTGTGTGTGGGTGTGTGTGTTGGCACAGGCGAACAGATGAAAAATACATAATAGTAGAAGAGTACGGAAGTGTTTTGATATCGATAAGTAAATAAATAGAAAAAATCATATTTTACGTATATATAGATTATATTCGTATAGAGAGTAAATATGAATAAATCAAGTAGAAATCAACGGTAATCCAAATAAACACGATTTCCATTTGATATTGAAAGAGCCTTAAATAAACGTTACACATACCAACTAAATGTTAATAATTTCGATTAATATTCATTGGTTTTTATTTGGAAAGAAGCGTAAATCAAGTTAGTTTCGTGTGAGTAAAAGCCTTGTTTGGTTAGAGAATTGTTTCAAAAAAAGCTTGCGAAAGCCAGCAAAGTGTAAAAGCCTTGTTTTCTTACGTTCTAAAACTTATCCTTTCGACTTACGATCTAACTTAGGGGACGGCAAATTGATTGGCTTGCCAACAAAATCACTCGGTTCACCAATTGATTCGCCAACTTTGACTAAACACATTCGCATTTGTGGTTTTCTTCCGGGAATAATAAGTTAAATATTGATATACCTACCGATGCATCGATGCTGCTGCTCATTCATAAGAAGATGAATAACTCAGGCAACTCAAGGGAAACTAAACAAATAAACAACTCTGTTTCGGTTTAGGGGTATTTAGTTTGATATTGAGGGTAGTGTTTTGGATTTTGGAATACATTGTTAACTATAGTTTGGCCGTCGTGACCCAATTTGGTCTTTAATCCATATCGTATACAGTTTTAAATCCTCAGCAAAGTTGCGTCCCCAATTTCCGTACCCATAAATACTCTTGCAGAGCTCAATGCTAATGCGTTTAACACCGCAATTGGGTTCAGCTCTTGCCCGATTCTCGCCCCTTTACCACAAAAGTGGACCCATGTGTGCCTAATAACCAAGAACCACAAAATAAAAATAAACCAAAATAACACAGGCACACTGGCAAAAAACTTAGCATACATTTTCGGGGCACGGGTCTCATGAAAGAGTGCAAAAATTTGCATTTAAATGGAGGCAGCGAAACAGACAGCCTGTCGGAGGTGCAAAAGAGATGGGCACAGTTGACCCGGGACTCTTTCGTTGTTTCCCCGCTTTTTCTGGACTGCTAGTGTCACTGGCAATGAATGCTACAAATGGATTAATTCGCTTGGGCGCGACAACATCGTGGGGTGTTCGTACGTATATATATGTACATATACATATATATGTTCCCATAACTGGGCGCGTTTTTGTATCGGGGTCGAGGAGTCCATAAAAAACCAGCAGGCAGACTCCGCCGGACAATTCATTGGCATGGAAATCTCTGCTTTTAGTTAATTTTCCGGTTCAAACGTTATCCGGCCCGTACTAATCCATGTCGCCCATGTCCCTGCCCGTATAACGTATACGTATACGTACACGTTACGTATACGTATCCGTGTCCTGTTCAGGTTGACATTTACATTTTTGGTCAGTTCGGTGGGAAAAAAGAGAGCGGACCCCTGTCGTTCCTTCGCCCCCTTCAGTTTCACTTTTCCTCCGGCCTTTTTTCTTGGCCGAGATGCTCTTGTCACGCTTACATGCCGGGATTATAGTTCTGTGGGGTCGTTGGTTGCGGCAGGTGGCATATTTGCCATCGACATCGACATCGACATCGCCATCGACGTCATGGGGAGATCCCCCATCGATGTGGGGCTTTTTTTCTCCTCTTCGTCTGCTGACATATGGGGAACGTCGTTTCGGTGACCCAGAATGCCAAACAGCAATCATAATAAACAAAACTTAAACGCTTATCAACGACAGCAACAATAACACAGGGAAATAATAGAGGGAAATCAAATATGCAAAGGCAAAGTTGTGTGTTTGGTCTGTTTTTGTGGTGTGCTTTTGTAGCGTCTGTCGATTGGGGTTTTTGGTTATATATATATGTAAAGATAATACGCATAAAACTCGATATTAGGTATGGTTAATCAGCTAACTTTATGGGGGGTTTGAAGAACACATTTAAGGAGAGTATTTCATAAACATAGGGATTCCAAACTGATATAAGTTATGTACAGAGGACATGAGAGTATAGAGCTAGGGGATATATTAACTTGAAACAAGTCTACATAAAGGTATTTAACAACAATATATATTAAAGTAATGGAAATAATTATGAAATGAAACAGCGGCGCTGCATCGGTTTGGTATATTTTGTTTTTATCGTATAGCTCCAATTAACAATTTTAAATGCTATAATGATTGTTCTTATGCTAGACATTTATGGAAAAAATACCCGTTTTAAAGTTGTAAGGAGATATAGCCGGGCATTAACGTTTTGCGGGATAAATATATACGAAAAAAAAATAAATATTGGTAGACAGGTGCAATAAGGTAAGCGTTTAATTCCCATTTTTACCAGGGCTGTAATCACATTAAACGAGCACCCATAAATACAATTATCGGCTCAGGGAGGGAAAGAGGGGGAGAATGTCAGCATGTGTGCCTTCGGGATCGTTTCAAAGGACATTTTCATACAATAATCACGTTTGTCCTGCCCTTCCGCTGAACGAGGAGAGCCTCGATTGAATTACGCCTAAAATGCTGCAACAATTTTTCACTTTATGCGATATTATGCTGCAATTATGTGTGTCATTTTCACCCCCCTTTTCAGTCAGGCCAACAAGGACATCGTTGTTGTTTGTTGCGTCAAATAAATTTCCAGCAGAAAGCAATTAAGTCGCGAATTAAGTACGGCGCATAGGACACGCAGCCGGGAAACACGGATACGACCACGTACGTGCTCCCATGTGTGAGTGTGAGTGTTGTGTTGGCCCGGCTGCCTCGCTTTTCCGCTTTCCCTGCTCGACCTGCTGCGTGCTCAAAGTTTTAACGCGTTGTAATAAATGTTAATTTTGGCCCAACGAAAATCAACATTTATGGCGTGTTTTATGTGAGCTTCAACATATTTTCCGTGTTGCCGGATATTTTCTCCCCCAAAAACCCTCGTTTTCGTTCCCCCCGCAGGATTATGCTCTTCCATCTACCCACACGGTTTGTTTGTTTTTGTCTGGGAGGCATACTTAAAAAATATAATTATTTATTGATCTACAAACAAAATTAACATCTAAATGACGTCGAACACCCTGTTTGAATGATGTCCCACCAAATGATTGTTGAACATTTCATTTGCCTTGGACAAACATAATTAAGTTCAGCCAAATGAATTTTCAATTAGCCATAAAATTTCATTTGATGCCAATCCACTGACTTCATTTCAAATTGCATCCCGCAGAATAATATTTTATATGGTACGGATTAAAATTTAAATCGACTGGGAAATATACTATGTCAAATATCGAATATTGAACAGTTTACTACTTAACTCATGTTGGAACTATTAATAACAAACAGGATTTTTCTGATTAATTGATTGAATTAAATAAATAAATCTTAACTGTTCAATATTTTGAAACTACGCTACTTTTTATGTGTCGCAATTTCTAGTTATTTTCTTATTTTATGATGACCAATGAGTATCACACATTCCATTGAATGTTTCTAAACTTCTGAAGTGCATAATGTGTCACGTTATAATCGGGCAGTATTTTTCGGTTCATTGATTTGAATTTTTCTATATTTTCGGGGGACGAGCTGAGTTCGCTTAAGCATTTATTGCATAGCCAGCGGCTATGTCATTGAATATGCAGCATAAATAAATAGCATAATTTGTGTTTTACAAATTTGTACGATTACACACTTTTTTTTTGCAGCTCTTAGGGGGAATAACAGTTATTTGTAAAGAGATTTTGTGTGTGAGGGCGTGTGTGTTTGCATAAAGTTAATTAAATTGTTTGCATGCGGCATTAACTTCTAATTAAATTTGCTTTAAATCCATATATGTCTATGGTAAGAGATTTGCCAATGAAATCGACGGTAAATTTGGCATGAATTTAAGGCACATTCAATCAACTATTTCGAACTAAGCAGGATGGCCTAAGGCCATCTTTGGCTAGATATATACAAGGATATATATATTTATATATTTGTGTGGCGTGTTAGTGCAGGAGTAAAATTCTGTGTTGTATTTCTCTGTTGAGGTTATTTGGAGAACATAAACAGAAAACGCTAGTTGAGCGACTATTTCACGAAATGACTCCTAGATTTTCATTGTATTCTAAAAATACTAATTTCCAAAATTTAAGTTATAAATTTATTGGATATCATTTCGTAAAACTGTCGCTTTAGGCAAACATGTTGAACAAAAAAATCACTTTCGCAGGAAAATAAAAATAATGGAAACCATAAGTATTTAGGCAGCACAAAAACACAAGTAAACGGAAAGTAATGAAACCAAAAAAAGGGCAAAATTTGAATGAACGCAAACGCAAAGAGAAGGTTCGAAAAGTATAGAAAAATATATAGTATATAGCCATACCGCAGCTGCAGCAGCGACAGCGGTGGCGCGTGTTTGGGCCGCTTTTAATTGTGCCTGTAGGTGCAGGGGGGGATGGAAGTAGCGGCAGGGGTCGCGTGCGCACCTGCCCTTCACGGCGTCCATGCAAACCGTTATCGAGCCGTCGTCGTGCCTGGCCACGCTCTCCTGCGGATGGGCAAACCGGCACTCCGATTCCGCCCGTTTGCAGGCGCCGCGCAGGAATTCGCGGCACACCTGAGTTCGGGTTTTGGTTATCGCATTTGGTTATCGCAATTGGTTATCGGATTGCGCATTTGGATCATCGCAATCGCAATCGCAATCATCGCCATCGATCGCAAACACACACACAACACGACGCCCGCATTTCGATGATCATCGGTGGGTTGGTTTTTTAATTGGGGGTTATCAGGTGGTTTTGTATTTATCGACATGTCGATCGATTTTTGTAGTTGCAGCGATTGTTGATCGATTGTTGGTATCGGTATCGGTATCAGTTGATTGGCGTTGGCAGCGGATAGCAAAAGTGGCAGCAGTTGTGGTTCAGAGTGGTTCAGTGGTGTGTTTTCGGTTTGGTGTGTGTGTGTTTATAGGCGGAGAAGGTGTATGTGTGTGTGTGGAGTGTGTTTTTTGGAAATAATGGAAGGATATTCAGTAAACAAGTTCATTTCTTTTGTTTCGTTTTTACTTTATTTATTATTTTGGTTTACGTTTTAGTTGTCATCAAAAGAAAAGTTAAGTATTTGCGCAAAAATATACATATACATATATTTTCGATTCGTTCCAAGTCAAATGGTAGGCAAGATTTTTTTTTAGTGGTTAGAGCCGATACAGATGCATTTCATGTTAGGTTTTTGTTTCATTATGTTTAAAGGATTTTTTTTTGCTGTTGTACTTGCCTCTTGGAATTGGTTTTGCTTTGTATTATTTTTGGGTGTTGTTTTTATTTTTGCTTCATGCCGATTAGTTTTCAATTTGCATTTTTTAGGTTGGTGCACTTTTGAGTACGAGAAAACACAAGAGTAACACGGTAGCACAAACATAACGAAAAGGAACATCGAGAATGCAAGGGTTATTCGAAATCAGGAGTAAACAAAACCACAAAGACGTTACTGGGAGCTCGGGTTGGACTGTTTGTAGAGAGTATTTCGGTGTCTGCTGATTCAAAATGAGGAACGAGATTTTTTTAAGGAAAATAACTTGAAATCAAAGGCTTAACAACTACCAAATCTATGGTACTAAAGGTCCCCCAGGGGAATACGAAAAATCTGCTAGTTCTATACTCTGTATCTACGATGATATATTTTTTGAGAGCTAAAGGAATTATCTAAAACTCTAAGAGGAGAATGGGATGAAACAGGAGCTTCCCTTTCGCTCAATTCGAAAATCAAAATAACTTTACGAAAAGGGGAAATCAAAATGAAATCAGAAATATCAGTGCAAAGAATTCTGCAATTTTTGATAGTTTTCTTGGGCTATTTACAGGGCTCGATAGCTTCCTAAAAAAGCTTTTGAAAAGCAGCTGCTAGGCCAAGCTGCAGTATTGTGCGATCGACTCTTTAATCGATCCTTACTAATTCGTTTACATTATGTTGATAAAAAAGAGCTGAAGAAATTAAAAGAAGAGAACATCAAGATTGGGTGTTTTTATATTTGGTTTCAATTTGGCGGTGTTAGACAAATACGAATGTGTGTCAAAACGTTTTCGAATCAATTTCTGGTTATTGGCGAATTATACAGTTGATTTTGGTCGCAATTTCAGCTTGATCTTTTGGCAAACTCAATAGAACTCAAAACTCTGTACAATGTTTTCGTTTTTAGTTCGCAATACTTGTATACGTAGTTTAATATTAATTCTAATTAGAAATATAAATACATAAGACATGCCACGAAAAGAAACACAAGAAAGTAAACAATTTTCGTTGGGTGTAAGTCTCGCCGTCGGCGAACAAACAAATTAAATTAATAAACACAACGTAAGCGTAAATTAAATCGCAGTAAATTGACTTCCATGGATACATAAACATATATCGGGATATACATATATATATATTCACTGCGGCCTCGGCCCGAAACTCACCTCTAATCTGTCGGATCGTGGTATTTTCTGCTGTGCCACCTGCACCGCCTGGGGCACCACCGGTCCCAGCTGGGATGCCACGGCCGTGGGATCGGGACCCAGCAAGGTGGGCACCAGGTGACCCGTTGTGTAGTACGGACTGTACGAGTTGGCCGGAATGCCAGTCAGATAGGGATTTGTGGCCTGCAAGAGGTAGGGAGATGGGTAGAGGGGGGTGGTCAATCAGAGGGTCATTTATCATTGCAATCCATCAGGCAAACAGTTGTCGTCCATCAGGACGTAATTATGGGGGCACCTCGCCCCATTGGATGGGTTTGAAATGTTTACGCGTAGCGGATAATGCTGTCATAATTTCCCAATGGGATATTGACTAATACCTAAATGGTCGACCTTTGTCTTAGTTGTTGTAAACCGATTTTAAGACAAATAATCCAACAAAAAGACTTTAAAAAACTTAAAAAAAATATATAATATTACTCATCCGCCATGTTGGTTGTATAGCTAAGCTTTAGTATATAAATAATAAATGATTTTATTACGAGTTTGTAAATTGAAAGTAAAATAATTTAAACCTTTTAAAATACTGAAAATTTATTTGTTTTAAATGTCATAAATTCCTAATGGGATATTAACGAATACCTAAATGGTTTCCCTTTGTCTTAATCGCTATTTACATTATTATTTATCTTTTAACAAGTCACTTTAACCGATTTTAAGATATAAAGATTAACCAAAGAAAAAAAATAAAAGATGGAAAATTAAAAAAAATATTACTCATTCGCCATGTTGGTTGTATTACACATTCGCCATGTTGGTTGTATTACTCATTCGCCATGTGGTTATATGGGCAAACTTTGGTTCCTATTCTTTATGTTCTTTAAATTTAAATTCGCGAAAGTCTATTTAAATATTAAACTAATAAACAGAAAATATTAGTCTGTAATTTAGTAAATGCAAACATTTGGTTCATAGTACCTCAAATATTATTCGTGAGTCCTCAGAAAAGCAACCCTATCTGCTCAATTTAAATCCTCTTTTAAATCTGTTTTATTTATGGCCTATCCCCATCGTAATCTAATGGTTCGACACCCCATTGAAGGCTTCACACTGCCCATGAAGTGACCCTTCCGTTGGGCACAAATTATGCTTGGCACGCACTCGTAAACCTTTTTGGCCCCACCACGCCGACTCTAATGAAAATTCATGCATTTTTCAACAATCAACAGGGACGCCCGTTTTCATTTCCCTCTAATGATGGCTGTCGTTTAGCTGCAAATCCACAAAAACCATGTCGCAAATTATTTGAGAATTAATTTTCGATTTGTTATAAAGCGGAAAAGCCCTTCCCCTTGCATGAATAAAACATTCCCCTTGCTCTCACTCTTTGGCTCATTTTCGCGCACTTTGAATTTACTCCGGTTGGTATTTCGGATATTCATGGTCGTGGCAGAGGAGAAGTTCGCTTATAAATATTCATATTTTCGAACTGGCAGCGGAAGTGGGGCGTGGGGATTGGGGTAAATTCAATTAAAGTATTAGAGCGGCACTTACCACGGTTGGCACTTGGCCCGATATGACCGGCTGGCCGGGCGCGATGCCCATCTGTTGCATCAGTGCATTCTTGAGGGCCAAATGATTGCGTCCATTTATCAATAACTGATCCTTCAGATGCTGTGGTGGATGAAAATATTTGCACGGCGGTTTATCACGATTACAGCGGCCCTGCAAGGAAAATTCAAAGAAATTGTTTACCAAATTTTTCCAATACATGTAGAGAAAATTGACAGCAGGGGTTAAGTCTTTGGGGCAGCTGGCCATAATTCAGTTTCGATTGCTGGCAGTGGCAATTTGGTGAGCGTGTTGGCCAGGAAGTGCTTGTGTCGCACTAAATAAATTTCTCGAAACAAATTTATGTTAATGTTTTCTATTCCTGGCTGCTGGTTGATTAACACAAATTGTTATGCTTAACCTTAATGCCCAGGTCGTTTCGGGTTCGTTTTGCATGAGCAAATACAGTTTAATTTCAGTTTATTGAACAAACATAAAGGATGTTCTGGCTTTGGTCCTTAACAAAAATCTTTACCTGAACGTTAAGTATCAAAATTTAACAATCTAAATACAGTACTGACGTAATGTGTAATGAAAACGAGGACGGAAGCTAACTTCGGCAAGCCGAAGTTTTAATACCCTTGCAGACTTTGCCGAAATTGCTAAAACTGAAAAAGTAGCTAAAGGAATAAGGTATATATAAATAAACTAGATTTTCATCGTTTAATGTCAATTGCTTTTATACTGCAAAAATGTTATATAAAAATAGAAAAAAGGGATACTTTCGCAGCCTTTAACTATTTTTCCTACGGAAGCTATAAGAAATAGACGTCCGATCGGCAAGCGCTTTTACCCTAATCAAGATATGCGTAAATAAATAAGACTTGGAAAAATTTATGTCAGTAGCTTACACACTACGCGAAAAATTCAGAAAATCATCAAATTTGGACCGATTTCACCCTGTTGTTCCTATGGGAGCTGTAGGATATAGACGTCCGATCGTCACGTGCTTTTATCATAATCAAGGTATGCATACAAAAATACGATTTGGAAAGATTCATGTCAATAGCTTAAATACTGCGGGAAATATCCTAAAAATCATTAAATTTTAACAGATTTCCCCCTATTGTTCCTATGGGAGCTATAGGTTATAGACGTCCGATCGCCAAGCGCTTTTACCCTGATCAAGGTATGCATAAAAAAATAAGATTTGGAAAGATTTATGTTAATAGCTTTTACACTGCACAAAATATCTTCCATTCTTGAAAGTTATATCCGATTGTTCCTATGGGAGCTATAGGATATAGACGTCCGATCAGCACGCGCTTTCACCTTGATGAAGGAATGTATAAAAAAATACGATTTGAAAAAATTTATAGCAATAGCTTTTACACAGCGCGAAATATTCTGAAAAACATAAAATTTGGACCGATTTTACCCTATTTTTCCTATGGGAGCTATAGGATATAGACGTCCGATTGCCACGCGCTTTTACCCTGATCAAGGTATGCATAAAAAAATACGATTTGGAAAAATTCATGTCAATAGCTTTTACACTGCGCGAAATATCATCAATTTTTGCTAGATATATCCGATTGTTCCTATGGGAGCTATAGGATATAGACGTCCGATCGGCGCGATTTTCAAACTTGATCTGCGTACACATGTTTTAGGACGCGTGTGAAAGTTTCAGATCGCTAGCTTTTAAACTGAGCTCACAAACGGTATTGAAACAGACGGACAGACGGACAGACGGACAGACGGACAGACGGACAGACGGACGGACATGGCTATATCGACTCCCCTATTGATCCTGATCAAGAATATATATACTTTATGGGGTCGGAAACGTCTCCTTCACTGCGTTACAAACTTCTGACCAAAATTATAATACCCTCTGCAAGGGTATAATATCGTGAATTCGGGTAATACAATCTTTCCCCATTGAAGTTGTTATAATTGGGCGCCATTTAAAACAAATTACACTGCCTGGTATAAAGCTAGTTCTATGTAATTTCTTGTATCCTTGGCATGACTCAGAGCTCTGAATAACTTTGTGTTCGTGCTGTCAACACATTTCGCCCAACCAAAAAAGCCAAAACCAATTAACTGCATGCAAAAGCCGTTGCAATTTCCCTTCAAGGCAAATCGGGATTCCGGAATGCCTATGAAACATGGCACCGCATTTCTACCAGCATATTTTCGGGCTATATGCGAGATCGAAATTCGTTTTTAATTGCGAAAAAGTAAAAATTTCACTTCATTAGCACGTGTAATTGTGGCGGCGGATTAACGCGGCTCACTCTCTTTTTAAGCCAAAATGTCAACAATAATTATAATGGCCAGGGGATCGGAGTGGCAATGGGCTAATGCCCCGCGATGCATGCAACATGGCATGTGGAAAACGAGGGCAGGCCGACTGGCAAACAAATATGCATGTAAATTATATTTAATTCAGAGCAAATGAAGTTAACAAATATTTGCATACAGCAAGGCGAGCGGCGACTCAACGCTGAGTAAAAATGAGTGAAAAAGCGGAGAAAAATGTACAAATTTATATGTAAAAGGGGAAAATTGTGTGTGCATAAATTGATTGTTTGCCCTGGCCAGAAGAGGAGGACAGCAAACAGCGGGAGACAGAGAGGGCAACTGTAGCAGAGACATGCCAACTAGTTTTCGGTATCCTTTTGTGTTCTTCCCCCTTTTTCCCGTTATTCCCCCTTTTGCCGTTATTCCCCTTTTTTCCTGGTGCCGCTGTTGATGGCATTTACAATTTATGACGCCCTGAAAGCTGTACAAGATTTATGGCGCCCAACAACTGGCGCTAACTCACAAATAATTGTTGCCGAACAACATTTCTGTTTATTTTTATTTGCTTTGTTATGATTCTCGCAAATATTTGTTAGCATATTGACAAATGTGGGCCAAACTGGGACGAGAAGAAACTTTTTAATAAACTACAAACTATCGATGCAAAGCCATAAATTAGGCTAATTAATTGTCGATTGCTTTTGGATACTCCTCCCCCCGCCCTGATGGACAAATATTTGGCGAGCCAACAAAATACTTTGCATTGTTGGCTCGCAATTTTGATCTATAAACACAGCACAAAATATTTATTGACGACAAGCAAATATTTTTCTCCATCCTTCTGTGCAAAACTTTCAATCAGCAACTGCCGGGACACAAAATGCAAACAAATACACGAGTGGCAGCCACTTTGGCATATTTGTTTGTGCTTATTGGCGCCATTGGCAGTAATTTAATGCTTCGATTGAGTTTATTTAACAACAGCCACCGTTTTGACTGGCTGCACTCGTATCTGACTGACTGTCTGACTATGTCCCTCTATTTTGTTGCTCTAATTCGCTTTAATGAAATGCTAATGCAATTTTTCATGCCACTCACTTGTTGCCCTTGCAACTGGGTTAATTGCCTCCTGATGGCCATCGAATCATGTTAGGTAATTGCTAACTGAGTTATTGGTGTGCCTAAGCGTAGTGTTACCTTATTGATGAATCTGTAAATCGATTTGGCATTCGTTTTTCCCATTCCAGCCATTCAGCATCTTTCAAGGGCTTTGGCAGCAAATTTAAATTGCATTTGCTGGCCACAATCAAATAAGACATTATTCTTGCAGTCCTGGAGAGATCCTCGCCAGCGGGACGGACATTATCTTCGAGTGCCAAGCGCTTGCCACTTGCCACTTTCCACTTTCCACCTCCCATTTTCTCGGGGCAATTTCTTTCTTGTGGCTGCCGCCCCTAGATATGCAACACTTTCTTGCTGCTGCCGCTTGACATTGCCCCGCGATTCCTTTTTTTGTTCCTTTTTCTTTGCCACACGCCACACTAAACATTTTCATGTCATTTCGATTGTAATCTGCATGACTGCTCCTTGGGCGTGCGGAAAAAAAACCACGAGAGAGAGTGGAAAAGCGAGTGCGAAAATTGCAAATGGTGTCCACTCACGCACGCAGAGGGGGGCGGGACGGGGAAAAGCGGGGAAATGGGGAAAAACGGGGGCAGCATATTTGCATTGCCAACGTTCGCGCTGTGCAACTGAAACTGGAACCCTTTTTAGAGCATTCGCCTTTTTTCGCAACGCTTCTTGTTTCACAGCTTCGGTCTGATGCAGATTATCCGCTTTAAATTGCAATGATTACTTTTTCGCCTTCCTCTCGCAGTCTTTATTTTTTTATTTTTCTTTATCCTTCTTTTTTCGGGTGGAATGATGGCAGTGATGGCATTCCAGAGCCATTTTTCTTCTTTTGCCAGGCCATTCGAAACAATGTCGCTGTCGTCTAGCGTTCTGGCATGCCATTGTGGAAAGCGGGGGGAAATTGGGGGGGCTGTTGGCCATTGGCTAAGGAATTTCTCATGTTTTCATGCCAAGTGCAAGTCAGGTCCAGTCATGTATATCGTCGCGTATCGCATTGCCATTTGGTCGACATGCGTCTAGGGAGGAGGCCCCTTCTTGGCCAAGTTAAGACGCAGCTGCTGCCCATCAACTGGAAGCTAGGAGCAGGGAACTGGGCACTGGGAGCACTCAAGTCCATGTCCTCGTCTTCGTCTTCGTTCTCGTCCTCGACCAAGTCGTTGGGTATTAAATGTCATTTTGCATTTCGTGACAAGTTGGCTAATCTGACTCGAAAGTTATTTATTTCTTCTTTGTTGAGTGCAAAGGAATTTTTCTTACACTTTTTTTTTTTCTTGCCCTGAGAGCATTTACATGGCATTTTTCCTCAGGGTCTCTGTTTGCTTGGAACTCCTTTCCTTTCCGCTTTTCCCCTTTTCCGCTTTTCTCCCAACGAACTCTAGCTACTTTTCTTCAATTTAGCGGCGATAGGAATCGCCTTTGAATGTTAATAAAACGGATTTTTATGCAAATTTAAAACTGTTTAGTGGTTCGACTTTGCTATGCATTAAAAGAAGAAAAAATGCGATCCGCGTCTAGGGCTTTTGCGAAAATAGACAAAGAGTTGGAATAATGCGAATGAAATATGTTCGCCCGGCTTTGTTTGATCTGGGGGGAAAATGAATGGGTATGCCGCCTTTAAAGTTGAATTTGGTTTAGGATTCATTTTAAACATATTTTAGGTAAATATTCTAAAAAATTCATGTATCTAAAGATTATGATTAAACCAATTTATCGCTTAACCTATCACATAAGCT